CAAAAGTCTCTCCTCTGATACCACCCCCTGCCCCATCTCCATTCTACCTACCATCTTACTACATTTTCCCAGCTCCCTACATCTTTTCCGGAGTTTTAAATTTCGGTGCTGTTTTTCTAGATCCTCCAGTTTTTCCCCAGAAAAGTGTCTGGGGGGAGAGGTGGAGGGAGCCAGCAAAATGGGAAAAACCAGAATGCCAATCACAGAAAATGTTTTTTTCGAGGCGAATACGACCCCTTCCAAGTTAGTCCACCAAAAGCCACCCATCTCTGTGGGGATACCCAACGTACGCGTGCCCTGATCCTGATGCTCATGGATCAATCTCAAAGTCAAACTTGTAGGTGCACTAGGCCCTCCATCCTCCCACACCAGCTCTTCTAATAAGGGAACGGAAAGAGAATGACCATCAAAACTGCTTTTGATTACCGAAACTTTCGTGTGTGGAAGTAAAGAGTGTAGCGCACCCCCCCCCTGAAGGAGCTAATCAAAGCTGAATGTCGAAGGGTCTGTCCTTTCACCTTTACCACAGAAACGAAACATACCCTGTGCATCGACCAGCAGCACATGATGAACCTTCTGCTTCTCATAGTCGAGGCAGCTGTCCTCGTTGGGGCACGAAAGTATCAGGTCCGATCCAAGAAGGGAGAACCTGCAGCATGTAAAAAATACGAACATCATCGCCTCAGACTTTCTAAATATACCAAAAATCTACTCACAGTCCCGGAGGTCCGAACTACTCGCTTTGATTCTCCGTCCTCAATTTGTCCAACAGTTGATCCTGATGGCGCATCCTCGGGGATAGAAAACTCGTACTCCTTGACAACACTCTGGAGTCGAATATTTTAAGGATTTGGATGGTGGAGGGGTTACTACCTATAACATCATACTTTGCTCTGAGTTGCGATTTTGGGAGTAGGATCTGACGCCTTTCTTGGACTTCCCAGCAAGGTTAACTCTTTGATGGAAACTGAGGATGGTCTTTCTGCCATAACCTGCAAGCAAACAGAGAAGATCAAAGACTCGAAGCAACATGCCACCGTACAACTCACTTTTACTGCAACGGAAGAACTGAGTAATGAAGGATCTTTCACGAATAGATAGGCCTTGTTTCCGGTAATATGACGAATTCCTAATATCGACAACATCTGTTCGGTCCAGCGACAAGTTTGTGTAGGAGTTCTTGTCCTGAAATCCTAGACTTTAGCAGAATATTGAGGAAAGCGAGTTGGAGCGTTTACCCTAGAAGTGATCCTGAGAGAAATCGCGAGTCCTCTCACTAAATCCCCACTTTTCAGAGAATTCCCTATCTTGAATGTGCCATTCTTGGTGCCTTCGAAAACGAGTTCCAGCTCTGAAAATAAGTTTTCTTTCCGCTTGTGGAGTGAAATATCTTTAGGACTATACGGTATGCTTTCTCAGTAAGCTCTATCAACAGGGCAATCAGTGAGGCTATCGAGCCGGACGAAGTCATTTCATAATCTGTTTCCCGGCATTGGAGGGAGCATGACCGCGTACTTCCGTGCACGAGCTGCAACGGTAAACAGCAACCGGTTCAGGCAGGAACCCAGACTTACTAAAGTTACTGCGCCTAGGAGAGCGTTGAAGCCACAAGGAAAGTCGTCACACTTCTCAACCCTCTAAATGGAACGCAAGTCGTGTGCTTACGCCTCGCTCACAAGAGGGTCCGTGGATACTGCACTCCAAGGCCAAGATATGGACTGCTTATGAGCGTAGGGTTTCGCTGATCAGAACAGACACCGCATCAATCGCGCTCCTGTACCCGGCTCGTGCGCTTTCTAGGCAGCGGGCAGTAGTATGAATATAGTGTTGCGATTTTACTGATGGTGCTTGAATAAAACCAAACTCTTTGTCTCGAAGTGTGCCTTTTGAGTAAGATGCTAATCTTTTCAGGACCTATTCTTTGCTGCTTTTCATAGTGCAAAGGCTGCCCCCCCTTTAGAAATACAGGCCTAAAAGTGATGGCTAGAAGTTTGGCGCTACTCGACTATTACTACTATAAGAGCTCACAGAAATTTTGGCGCACACTTCGCTTAGGGTTCCTCGGTTCCCTGATTATGAGTATGACGCTGCGCCATTTGGGGTCGTGGGACGCATTTTGGCGCCACCACTTTTTCCATCAAAGGTTTAGTGTTGCACAGCGCTGTTATTTGATGACCTCATTAAAAATATGATATTCACTATTGACAATTGCTCAGTTCATCTGGTGGGAGGGAAGGGGATCAACCCTTATCCCGAGCCCACCCTTAAAGGCACGGTCCGCGATCAGGTATCGAAGTTGAAAATATGGCGTCAGGAGGTTAGAGTGGTCCGCGAGAACAACCTTGTACCGGTTTCGCGGCAAAAAATTCTAAGGGAGGGGCGCTATAGCGCAATATAGGTTCAGTGGTTCCTCCTTTTTTCCAGTGACTCCGCCTCCAGACTCCGCCTCCAATGCCCGGCTTTCAGTGAAAAACGAGATTGCAGGACGAAAAAGCATGAAAATCGTCACTTGTACGATCGAGTTTCTTATCGGTGAATCAGCTGTGGCGTATGAGGGCGTAGTGTGGGAGATAGAGTTAACTGAGGCACGTACAAACTGGGATCAAAATGGGGTTCTATCTAGGGCAGGTGGCATTTTTTTGTGCTTTTTTTTCTTCACTGTCGAGTTACTCAACCCCTTGTCGTCTATATGGAACCCCTAATCCACTATCTGGATGGCGAATAATCGCGGGTTCTGCCTTCAACAAACCGCTACATGGCGTTGGTGATCAGAAATCAGTGAAATCAGTGTGATCGGGCTCGCCAACTAACCTCGAACAAAATGGTAAGAATCAGGCAGGAGTCGTGTTACCATATGGCGCCAGCAAAATTCTGGGGGTAAATGGCGCCAGCGCTAAAAATGAGTGCCATTTCCAGAACCATGACATTGGATACGACCCATGCGAGCAAACTCTCTGCGGAATTTTCTTCGAGGTTGGGGTAGTAATAGTTGAGTAGTGCCAAACGTTTTATCACCTTGAGTATTTTTTTTACAACCGAACATAGTGCTTGCTTTCTTACGCTCAAAATTGACAGCATAAAAAAAAGCTATCCCCTCAATCCTACAAATGCAAATAATTCACACTCACCTTCAGCTTCTTCACTGGGAAGTTGTAGTGTTGGCGTTGTGCTTGGGGATTCGGTTAGCGCCGTGTCGTTGTTCTCTTCTGCTTCTGCCAATATTTCTTCTATGGATGCAGTCGTCTCCATGCTGGAGGGAAAACCGATGCTAGACGTCGTTGTTTCGAAAACTTCCACGGAAGCACTAGGCATCCCGGACCCTTCAAGTGACATTTTGATCTTGTCGTCTTTTCTTTCTGCTTCTTCTTCCGCTTCTTCCTCACCGTCGTCATTCAATTCTTCATGTGAATCTGTTCTCGGCAGAAGAAGCTCAGAGCTTCCGTCGATAAGTTTGACTCTGACTGGCTCTTCCTTCGATGAGGGCGCTTCAGTGGCCATCATTTGCTCCGACGATGTTGTGCCCAGAGAGAACAATACGGTCGGCGATTCTCCAGTAGCACCAGGATTAAGAGCGGACAGCACGAGATCTTCGTCCTCAACCGAATCATCAACTGACTCTGGTGCAGCTCGAAGCTCATTGGAAACAGACCTCGATACAGGAGCTACTGGTGGTGGAGCCAACGTTGGAGATGCTGGAGGGACTGCTATAGGAGCCATAGTGGTTTCATGTGTTGATTCGGGCGCGTTGTCTTCTGCTGAGGCGCCGATGATAGCTGAACTGTCTAAAATGGCATCACTAGAAGTCCCCTGATCAGTCGATGTCGTCGCTGTCGTCGTTAAGGGGGTAGTTGTTCCGAGGAGATCTGCTGGCGTGGTCCTTTCTGAGGTGGTGCTCGTAGGAGTCGTTGTTGCAGCAGTGGTGGTGCTTCGACGAGTCGTTGGCGAAAGGGAGAGGACATCTACACTGATACTCGCTGTCTGCATGGCTCCATTGTCGTGCGCCTGAAAATTTGATTGATCTTGACTACTCCCATATGGTTCAAATGTCTCTCTCGTCTCTGGTATGATTTTATTGCCCTTCCAAATATTTATGAGTGCCTGTGCAATCCTTGAGTATTTACTTCATTGCAGGAGTTTATATTGAAAGACAGGGTTTCAGCTTCTGTAATTCTGCACACCCTCGAAGACAGTGCTCATCGGAAAGAAAAATAATTGGGAATGAAAATAATGGACTATGTTGTAAAATCTAATAAATGAGAATTATTGAGGGGGGTCGAAAGCAAAGAGATAGCTCAGCTTCCGTTTCGCACGTGCCCTTAGACGGAAGCCGAGCAAAAG